TTTACCTTATTACATTTTATATCAGTTATTTTTATGATAATTAAAAAATTATGATGAATTTTTTTTTTTTGTATTGACTCAAATTGTCTTGGTCCAAATTTAATTCCTATTTAATCAGATTTGACAACAAGAGGAAGAAAACACAATAACTGCACTTTATAAATTTCAGATGCACAGTTTTAATGGAAATCATGATTTCATACAATGTGTAGGACCTTTTTTACTATATGTAATATTGCAACACACTTTGACATTTTTGTCCTAACATGATTCATTTGGGTTCCAAAACAATTTGTGGTCGCTAATAAGCCTTAAAGTGTTTTGTTTTTACATCATGTTGTGAGATAATACTAAGAAAAATGCACCCATATCATTTTTATTTTAGGCAATAGAAATAGTCTTTGTTGATTAAACAACACATCGCTGTTGGGAACCAAGAAACCAGTACGGTATGTTCACCTAAAGGTTAGCTGGAGGTCAGCGAGTGGCGTGTCATGGCTGTGCTCTAACCCCGCCACCCCTCCCGTTTCCTCCTCCTCATTTCTCCTCACCTCCTCCTTACCCATTCCTGTGACAAAGAGAGCCAGTTTGGTTGCCAGGGAAACAGGCTTTTTCCACAGTGATGTTAGAACACGTGGGAAGGGCAGGGCGGCTTTTGTTTCATTCGCGAGATGAAGGATTCTCCGCATGCATGTTTAATCACCAGACTTATGGCCCCTGAAGCCCAAGAGCCCCAGCCCATCTACCACCGCCTGATTATGCTCGATGGAGCTCCTGACTCTGTTGTCTTGCCTGTTTTATCATACTTCACGACTCCCACAGCAGCTAACCAAGCCATTGTTGCGCGGCGTTCCTGATGAGACCCCAGCTGGGACCACAGATAGTCAGATCAAACAAGGAAGGCACACATCCATCCATTAATGGGTGTATGCCTGGTCAAATAAACACCCTGACTTTACATACACACATGCATAAGACTGGGCTTACAATCCTTTTTGCCTTTCCGTCTATGTTGGCACCCACCCAGTTCTCTTTGGCTTTGCACAGCAGGGGGAAAATATGGCTGATCTCCATGGGAACTGTGTGTGCCGTTCTGCTACAGCTGTGATGTATGTGGTGACACTTTTGACCCTGTGGTGAACTCTATATTGCAGGGGGACTATCCCCCCTGCTATTTGTTGTGTATAGCTCCAGCTAATGGAATATACCAGGGTCATGGTCTGCTACAGATTTTCCTTCCCGTATGAGGAAAAAAAATCTGCTGTCTTTATCATAGAAATGTTTCAATATATTGCTGGTCATTTTCCAGTCACTGTAAGTGATTTCTTGTCAAGAATACATCAAAAACCTGCAACACCAGTAATATTTCTAACATATTACGAATACGTCATTTTTCGGGTTTCAATGACGTATTCGAACTATAATTTCTATCCATTAGTGATAATGCAACACAAACTAATTACAAAGGTTGGAATTTGAAATTGCTTATTTTCTCAGCTCTGCATAGATTGTAAATTACACCAAAAAGCTGAAAAATGTCTCAAAAGAACTAGAGCACCATATGTCAGCCTATAAGTTTCGCTCTCATTTTTTTTCATTAAAAAGTATCCGTCTGTCCGTTTTTCGATCGATCCATCATCTATGCTAGCATATCCTTATATGTCACATGTTGTGGGCTGGCTGGTCTATTTAACTGGCAATGGGCGAGAGCCAGAATACATCCTAAAAAGTCGGCCAGTAGATAATAAATATTACATAATATTATAGATTTGTGCAATTTGGATAAATATTTAATCTACATACTGTAGACAACAAAGATGAAAACATATTTCCAATATTGGGGAGGGGGGGTTAATTCTACAGGAAAAGAATGTGATACTGTACCTCCATATTTATTCCAACTTAAAATTTTGAAAATCGAACATAGGCTTATGGCTTTACACACATGTTATGAAGTCATCATTACCAGCATTATAAAGGGGGCTCAGCCTCTTTATACCTAACATATTTAGTTTAGTGTTCCTCTGACTGTAAAAACAATAATGATATTGTGTGAGAAAACACCATGGTACATTTAAAGAATCTGTGTGAGATCATTAGAAAAGAAATTTGTTAAAATATGTGAGTCTAGTAAAAGGTCTGGAAAGTATTTGAAATCTGCCATTCCACTATAAAGAACATTGTTTAAAAGAGGAGAAAGTCGAAAATGACTCTCATCATGCTTAGCTCTGACTGTCCAAGCAAAGGCTATCCACCATGCATTCTGAGTCATAGTCAAGAGCTCAATCACAATCGGATGCTGTAGGATGACTTAAATTGGGCAGCACAAGCAAGAAGCAACTTTAGATGAAAGTGAGAAGTGGTGCAAAATGTCCTCAGCCTGATATCAGGGACTGGGGAATAGCAGAACAAGTTATTTCATTTAAATTGGGTAAGCAATAGGCTATCCTGTATTATAAACCCATTAATATACATACATATATATATAAATTCCATATCCTAATTTTAATTATTCTATAGCCTCTTAGAATTACTCTCTGTTTATATGTACCATTTATATTCAATACATACATAGTCTCTGTGCACATGTAAATAAATATTTATATCCGGTATAGCACCTCTGGATAGATTGAAACGACATTTCGTTGCTTTGTACTTGCGACAGTGTAATAACAATGATGTTGAATTCTATTCTATTCAATAAAGGGGACTGAGCCTGAACCAGAATGGCAATGACCTCAACTGTAACAAATATTATAATCTGTGCTTTAAATTCAGTTTGCTGTTGGGAAACCAATCATTTAAATTAACCCAACCAATTCTGATATGGGAAGTGGTAAAAAAACAGCCTAATTATTTTAGAAATGTATTGATGTCCACAAAATAATGCCTACAATAGACTCAATCATCCCAATTCAATGCTTGTTTTAAAGCCTCATTGTATTATTTGATCTATGGATTGATCCTGGGTATAATCTGTTATAAGTGTATGCGCGCGTCTCAATGACAGTGTGTACTGTCCACCTTGATTGTCTTTTAAAGAAGGCAGGAGGAACTAGCAGTTGTTTGGTGACTGGTAGGTTTCACTGTTTGTTTGGCCCTCCACATGGTTTTTGCTGACCTGCCGTCCAGTTTTGTATGTCCTTTTTTGTTACACAACACAACAGCTCTGCAGAGTCTCTGTGGGCATGCATTTTCCATTGACATTTACAAATCATGCACTTTGTTTCATACATAAAAGAGGTTCAAACAAACACAACCTGTGGCCGGATATGCAGGTGAAAACACAATTAGTTTTGTTCTTAGGTCCAGAAACAGAGTGAGTAACGTTGTTGTGTAGCATTGACAGTTATGTATACTTCCACATTCAGTGTCTCAGGCATTGTGACATAAACAAGTATCACTGTCAATGCAGAAACACAACACAAGGAAATTATAAATTTGACTTCTTTTAAAGGTCAGTCAGAAGGTATGTCTTTCTGATGTTCTTGCCAAAAAAGCACCCCAGGTAAAGATTTTAAAACCTTCAAATTAATAGAAGATAAGCTTGAACGGAGCACAACATTTAACTGAAGTAGCCTCTTTATGAGAGAGCAAAAGAAATGCTCTCTTAGAAAATAACCTTCTATGGCACAGTTATTGATACCCTGAAAAACTCCTTTAGATTATAAGTTGCTGAAGGCATTTTCAAAATGTCTTTATTTTCCTAAGTCAATCAGACCCAATGGGGTTGATTAGTTAGAAATTTTTACATTCTTAATTACATACTGACACAGAAGCTATTTTTTTGGTTACTGGCCACTTCGTTGGACCCATATTTATTTTATCTCAAGCAGGACGGTATATGGGGGGTAAAATAATATCTTCTGGTATTTTGAGCTCACAGGGTCTCCTTAACCTTTATTAGATTGTATCTCCTTGACAACCAGGTGTTTGAGAGGCTTGTTAAAGAAATAAAAAGGTAAACCATTTCAAAAGTGGAGTGTCGATTAGGGCATTTCGCTTGGAATCCAGTGGTTCTGAGCTCAAGCTCCACTCCCATAGTCTGCCACTCTGGGTCCCTGAGCAAAGACCTTTTACCGCCACATTGCTCCCCGGGCACCGCACAATTGCACCCGCTGCTCCCCAAGGGGATGGGTTAAATGCAGAGAGTGGATTTCATTGCTCTGTACTTGTGACAGTGTAATGACAATAAAAGCTGGAAAAACATAAATGAGGAATGAACTTTGGTTCAAATTAAATTCAAATTAAATTTTTTTCCAACAACTTCAGTGTCATTTGGCTTGAATCAAAATTTAAGAAAGGAAAAACTCCATGTCTAGTGTGTTAAGTACAGAGATAGATCTGTCATCCTATGGGCCTTTTTTGTTTTCTAAAGACTATAAGAATATTATGCGGGAGCATGATATTGCTAACTAGTTAGTTCTGGTTAATACCAGTACATTTTACATCAAAATGTGTTAGGCTCTAATGATAATGAGTCAGGGTTAGTTCTTTCAAATGATGATGATCTAAAACAAATGGATACCACATGCAACATCAAGATGGCCAAAACATCACATAGAAAAAAACAGATGTATAAAAAAAACAAAGATCTCTTCGTATTATCAGTTTAAAACTGTATATTAACAGTAAGTGCTGTGCTGTTGTCTTTTTATTTTGTGAAAAAAACACAAACTTTTTTTTAAAACTTTTCTTAACATTTTGTCTTTAACTGAAACAAATGTTTTCAAATTCAAGGTTTGGATGTTATAGACCTTTAACAGTAATATTATGCTTTTCTTTTAAAATGTATCCGAACACTTCTCATTACCTTGCTGTCTTTTTGTCACTCCTGCAGAAATTCATCCTCTCTTCCGTGTTTCCACCACTAGGAGTGCTGTAGCTTTGCAAAAAAAACAACAACACAGTGCTCCCAATTTGTCCAGCTCTACTACTCTCTCACTCTGAGGAATGGAGGAGGAAGGGGAGCTTACTCCCAATAAACACTTGCAAGCAGACACCCTCTTAATCATTCACTTTATTATGCTTTTTCTTTACAGAAACAATCGGTTCCACATTGAACCAGTCGCAGGGGCGATAATATATTGTGAGGGACGGACAGATAATGCAGACAAAGTGGTTGTGGATGACAAAACAAATATATGTTCAAGTGAGATCTTAAAAATAAATCACATTTCCAGCACTATGTTAAACAGCCACTAGAAAGAGAAAGAACAATGCATATTGAGCTTTAAGACAACAATACCCAGAGACTTTATCATTTTTCATCCCACAAATGTTTCTTATGTCGTTTCTTCCACATATTTTAATAGGATTTTTTTATTATTCAAGTGCAGAAGGGAGAGTTTACTTGATTTTCTTTCGCAAGTAAAGTGAAGAAAAACCTAAACAAAGAGAACATTCCATGTGTTGTTGCAGCACCTCAGTCCTGTTTGTCCTGCTCTTGGTGCCTAAGGGTCATGACCTCCAAAGATACTCTCAAACCAGCCCTACCTCTGGGAAGTCAACGTGCAGGTCTGCAGAAGAGAGGGAGAAAAGTATGCAACAGGTATAAATCCCAAAAAGCAAAACTACAAACATTTGAATTGGTACTTCCTACAAAAAAGTAAAAAAAACTGAAAATATGTATGAAAATATATCTTTTCAGATATACATATATGTATAGCTTATCGGAAATGTTTACTCTAAACTGTAGAGTTTATTTTTATTTGTGCTCTGTGTAAAAATTAAACTTTGCTTCACCTTTACTCTGCCATCAAACTCCCTCCAGAGAAGTAAAAAAAAAAATAAAAAAAACACAAACCACTGGACTTTGTTTCCAAATTTGGAGAAGTTCCGCTTCCCATCCAGGAAAAAAAACCGTCAGAAATAGCATTGAGTTCTGACATTTTTAATTGAAAACACTGCCTGGATCAGAAGTGGAACGTAGAAACAAAGTCCAGGGGATTGTTTTTTAATTTTTATGGAATAACTATAACCTGGATTTCTGAGAACCTTTACGAGAACTCACCCAGAGTTCTCTCATTGTCTAGCTGTTTCTAGATCTGAATGAGTATTAGTGGTGCTTAAAAATATATTTACAATCCTTAAACTTCCTAACCTTGACATAACTCATCATCTAAGTCAAAGATTAAAATTTGACAAAGAGAAGGAGAGTAGAAGTTCCAAATAAGAAAATTCAGAAAACTTTTTTTAAGAGCTATAATTCGGACTCCATGAACGTAAACACACATTTTTGAAAACTAGTCCAAGTACGTTTTTTGCTTTTGTTGTAAAAATAATGTGAACATTGCTCAAATCTATCAGACTTAAAAAAGTTTTGGTTTTTCATGGCAAAAGGATTAGTTTGCTTCAGTCCCCACTACAGAAAATATCCCAGCAGCATCATGCTGCCACCTATGCATTCAACTACACAAGGTGATGTGTTCAAGGTGAGGAGGAGAACTCGATTCCCTCAACATGAAATGTTTGATTTTGCTGTGAACCGAACAGGACGCCTTTTTGTACATGTTATTTGTTTTCCCATTTGACTTCTGGCACACTCTAAATTGGATGTCCTTTAGCTTCCTTTCAAAATTGCCTTGGTTTCTACCACATTTATAGAGGCAAGATTTGTAGAGTGCACAACTAATACTTCTCCTGTCAACATTTTCCCACCTGAGACATCTCTCCAGCGCCTCCAAAGTTTCTATGGGTATGCTGGCTATTTTGCACAATAAATTGAAAAGCTGTTATCATAAGTGTGCACGTTGTGTATATATCCCAAAAGAAAACTTAAAGACAAATATCCATTGGATAATATTCCCAATCCTATACAGCTGCTTTAGTGAAATATAAGCTTCTGATATTCTCAGTGTTCCTGTTGCTAGGGAATAAGGACTTTTAATGAGATGCCAGAGAGGCTGCTGGAGTGATTGGTGTTTTCTACAGCTTTATTGGGCATAGAGCATCGCTCTTAGCTGCTCTTCTAAACAGCTGCTGCCCGCTTCCACTCAGCACGTTGGGAGAACTACATATCTCCTCTTACAAGAAGACCTGGAACATATGGATCATTTTAGGCTAAATGTAAAAAATAATGCTCGTATTGTATGCTTGACCTTTGCTCATTCGTCTCAAAAGTTTCCACATTATTCGTCCCTTTGTGCTATTCTATTCAATAGTCATGTCATTTAAGAGGGCAACCTCCAGAAAGGTAATTATAGGTATCAAACTAAACAAATATTAGTAGAAAAACAAATTACATATTTATGTTAATTTGTTTTGTCTTTAAAGCAGGAGAAGCAAGAACCAGAAAGCTATCTCTTTGTTTTCTGCTTATGCACTTATTTTGTGTTGTGAAGTTAGAAAATGTAAGAACGTTTATGGATTACAAAGGTTTTTAATATCTTTGCTATGTACTCTATGAAACGTACATGGCCTGCCAATCACTAGTTGTGGTCATCACGGTTGGGGACAGTCATGAGTCCTGTCTACCCCTCCCCTTCCCTGCCTGTGGTCCTGCCACTGTCGTTGAGTGGGTGACCTTTTCTCTCGGCTAATCCACACCAAAAAGCCCTAATTACTGCTGCCGCTCCACCGGCCTCCTCTGACCCAATAATCAATACAGCCGATTGGCTGGCGGATCGCCCCGTCAGGCACCGGAGCTTTACATGCACCTCAGAGTTATGTCTGCATGTCTTAGCGTACGTGCTTATATGTATGCCACACCACAGTACAGCAAGACATTACAAGAGAAAAAGAAGGTAAGGACTTAAAGGAGACTGCGTTTGGATCGGCCGCTACGGCAACAGAAAAAATAAACAGTGGTTGACTACAAAGTAAACCACACACATACCTGTATTTACACATTCCTCCCTGCGAGCTGAATGTTGTGACACTGGTTGACCTTATTGAGCTGCTGTTGTGTAAAGAGTCCCTGATTAGAATATCTTCTCTTTAACCTTTAGTAGAGTGATGCATCTTTGGGTAGCAAAGAAATAAGGTAGGTGTTTATAGCAAGAAGCAAAAGTGTTTCGGCAAACATTTTATTTCACTAAAATTCTTGATGGCTTTCTCATATAGAGTGCTTCCCCTTTTTTTTTGTGTGTGCTTGCAGACAATATAAAAGACCGAAAGAATGTGGAGCTAAATCTGTCTCCATTTTCACAAATACACATATGTGATTCATACATGGACAGGACAAGCTCCACACACACACACAGAACGATTTACGCAAGCACAAAATCCACACAGTACAACAAGGAGTGGAGCGGTGACTGATCATTATTAGTGGTTATCAGTCCCATTGAATGGCTTCAGATTGTGCCAGTAGGCTCAGTAGGTTGTTATCATCAAGTGAATCCTAACCCTAAAGTAATTCCTTTCCCCCTACGGAATTTATTAATCTGTTTATGTGTAATCTGAAAATAATTTCAGTAGTTCCTCATGTGCTGTAAAAATAAATAAATAAAACTAAAATGATCTGCATGTCACTCATATTAAACAAACTAAAAACAAATAAATCTCATATCCAGTCACTGAGGTGTAGAATCCTCTCCCTATAAATATTTAATGAAAAAATGCAGATCATTCTTTTATAAGATCCTCATCTAACAGACATGCAATGTTTGTTTTTAAACCTAATGTGTGTAACGAACGAAGGGAATTATTTCTTTTGTTGTTTTTTGCACAAACTACGAGAAAAAACCTGACTAAATCGCGAAATATAACAGCATGATTGGATGTAAGGAGAGTGGAGACAGAGGTAATATGTATTTCTAAGGGTTTGCTGGCCTGACGCGGTATGCTGAGCTAACAGAACACCGGAGCAGAGCAAATAGTCATCCAACATGGATTACTTTCTTGTGATTGGCTTATAAAAGGGAGCTCTGTGATTGGTTGCAAACCATCCCCTGTATAAAAAAATGCATTTGTGTATCGAGGCACGTCAGGAGAGTCTCAAAAATCCACACACAAATGTAGAGAATTTTAAAGACTTTGTAATTTAATCTATAATTGTTTATGGACCAGAACTACTTTGACAAATCATGTGCTATGCATGTTTGAATCTTGTATGCTTGCGTGAATTGTGCTGTGTGTGTGGAGCTTGTCCTGTGTATGCATGAATCACATATGCGTATTTGTGAAAAATGAGACCGATTTAGCTCCATAAAAGACTGTGTTGCCTAAAGCACTTGTTCGTTTATTGTCACATCTTCTGCTTATTTTCCCCATGCATATATATTTTTGCCTACTTGTGCATGCCTGTAAGGTCTGAGGATACCAAATAAGATGCAACATGAAATGGAAAGGTGGACCTAAATTTTAGACACCCACAACATGCAAAAAAATAAATAAATGAAATAAAACCAAGGTAAGCAATCTTTCCCTCTACCTTTCCCTTCCTTTCTTTCTCTGTCATTCTCTTCTTCTGACAGTCTTTGGTTCTATTAGACAAGTTAATGAAAAGCAACAGAGAAGAGCCGACTGGCAGCCTGCACCTGTCAGAGTGTACGTCTGTATATGCATACCTGCCAGTGTCCGTCACACTGTCTTCTATCCTCAGGCATGCCAGTCAACGTGGTGATGAGACATTAGGAGTGATGAGAACCTCATCTATGCCTTCGAGGCGAGCTCCCTTCCACCGACAGGAAAATGTTGATGAATATAATCATATTTTCCCGTACGAAGTGAACAGAGAATTTTAGGTAAGGCATCATGTGTACAGCACAGCAGAAACTAAAAATGTTATGACCTGCTTGCTGTGTCAGAAAAAAATCTTAAATCTACAAGTATATTATCTGGTAGGACTCGTTACCTGTTGTGAGGTGACTTCCCTGGATTTCTCTTAGGATTTTTTGTTTTTGGTTTCTTTTCATAGTATGCCAAATTTTTACTTTCAGGTGTTGAATGTCATCCCCTTCATCAACTTTTGCAGTTTTGTACCTGTTATTTGTTGGGTAGAAACTAATTTTCTTCTTTAAAGAACTGTTTAAAAATAACAATATCACATTGAAAAACGTGGCTGAAAGGTATCTTTATACCTGACTAGGGTTTGATAAACTTTTAGGCACATTATTTCTTACAATTATTAGTCTGCGTAGCTCCACATTTACAATTTCCTTCACTTTTGTTTATCTGCAATATTTCATCAAGGTTATTTACAGAACAAACTTAATTTATATCTATAAATATGTAGTTGTGTCATTCTAATATGATATAGCTATATGGACAGATTCAAATGCAGTAGCATATGTTCCAGTTTGATTCATCCATCCATATTCTCCCGCTTATTCCGTCAGGAAACGGTTGGCCCAGTCCCTATCTCTGGCAGTCTATGGGCAAGAGGCAGGGTAGAGCCTGGACAGGTTGCCATTCTGTCATAGGGACACCCAGAGTTGCACACATTCTAGTTTCATCCTAGTTCTAATTCAAAGCAACTGAATTCTACTGATAAAAAATCTTATTTAAAAAGTTAGTCCTACATTAAGTCTGTTTAATCTCATTAGGTCATTGACTTTGCAATAATTCTTCCTATGAAGCAAGCATGCGGTGACAGTGGAAAAAACAGCTTTTGACTTGAACAGACCTCCTTTAGAACCATCTTTAATTTAAGATACAACTGATTGGAGATGAGATTGGGTCAGGAAAAAGCTAAGTAAAAATTACAAAAGCACTGGACCAGGGTTTATTTCCATAAGAATGTATCCACTCTCATTTATTAACAGCAGCAGCTTGGTTTGAGTAGGGGTAAAACACAGCTAAATATAGAAACAGACCTGCTAGACCGATAATGGGCACCCTGCTGTATTTTTGGCTTTGACACAAAACAATACTATTTATTATAAAAATATTTTTTTTTATCAAAATAAAACTAGGAATTTACTTTTTAACAGAGAGATCTGCAAATGATTGTGAATCAAAACCATGCCTACATTAGGCAACCATGAACATTTGTTTCCATAATGTATCTTCTAAAAACAATTTCACACTTAACTGCTAAGAAAAATACACTTTCTTTTGTAGTTATTTGTCAAGGTACAAAAGTGACAGATTAATGCAACTTCTTTAGAAAGCCTTTTTAGTTACCTCTCTATTCATGCGCCTCTTGCTGAATGTTTTCATTTTCAGTCTATGTTTTAGAAATAGATTTAAATATGCTATGATGCTCATCCACACTTTACAAGAACTCTGTCAACAATTTGCATTAAAATATCCATCATTTGCATTGTGCTGCTTTCTTAGAGCCTTCTACTTCTTGGTGTTGATTCCAAAGGTTTGCATTCAGACATTTTAATTTACATTGCCAAAAAAGGGGAACAGATTTTTGTACAGACTATATGATTAAAACAAAGATAAAAGTAGAAGTCATATCTAGCTTAAATCTAGCTTATAACCTTTGTAAAAAAAAAAAAAATATATATATATATATATATATATATATATATATATATATATATATAATAAATATATAATAAAAATATATTTTTATTTATTTTATTTTTTTTTTTTATAAACTCTCATGTTTTAAGAAATATATTGTTATGCTGGCATCAACTTTTAAATAATATTCAATTTGCACTGATGACCAAGCTGTATTAATCATTCTGTCCATGTAAGGAAGTAATAGGCACATTTTGTCAGCAGGGGTTGATAAGGTGACACCATTACTGAGCTCTGTGGTCAGCTGTGAATTATCCACCAGCTCCCTGTTCAGAGAGACAATAACTCCTGGGTATACACTGCTATGACATTTCATTTTCTGCCATGTATAAAGCATTGTGACTTAGAAACATAGATTCACTGATATAGAGTGGATTTTGTTAAAATATTTTTTGATAGGAAAAAGTCATTTACACTGCATTCAGCTTAATGCAAGAATCATATAGTTAATGGGATGTTTTGGTTAATTTAAAAATGAAACATGCATTTAAAGCAACTATAACTGGAATTATGTAATTCCTGAAAGGAATTAATTACACATTTTACTGAGAGCCATGACCCCGGATATGTGTGGATAGACTTACTCTATCTTTACAGATATTAACCCTCCTGTCCTACTAATGTGCCTGAATTTAATACTGCAGAATAATGGTCTTGGGACAGATGATAAATTTGATATAAATATATTTAAATGATAGTATCTTAAGTTACACGATTCCTCGTTTTACCAGATTTATTCAATATTTAACAATTCAAACTGAAATGTTCATTTTTGTGGGAGACCTTTGCTGTATAATTTGATATTGCCCATCTAGGCTTTCAAAAGATTACTTTTAAGGTTTAATATTTTCTTGAAAAAAAACAACCCTTTGTGTTAGAACCCAAAGTCCCGTTCGTAGATGCTTCTGGGTGTATCACCCTAGCTTATCAGTCGTCAGTCATCAGTTGCTTTTCAAGGTTTCAAAGTTGTTTATCCAACCACTTACAATCAGCTGTTTAGGTGCAATGATAAAACAAGCAGCCTCAGCCAACATAACTTTGCTATGTAGCAGAAATGTAATTTTTCTCAGAAAACTGAAAAAAAGTAAAAATTTTACCTTGTGAAAGTTTAGACAGATATTTTAGCACCTTCTGACATGGCTTTGCAACATTCAATAATTAATTTGGGTTAAATTGCCAAAACTAGCTTGACTCTGGGTCTGACAAGCTGTTAGTTTCCATCATTCAAACTTGGAAAAACTGCAAAACTATTACTAACCAAATGCAATCAAAACAATTATGCCCAAATTGCCTCAAGTTGTAGTTGTTTTTGTCTGATGTAAAACGTTCAAGAGTGTGTAAGTGAGACAAAAATGCAATAAAGAGAAGAAATCTGAAAAGGGTGAAATCATTTTTCACTACACTGTATCACAGTATTGCAAGAAGATATCATTAATTCAAAGACTGTTAGCAATGAACACATTAAAAAACAACAACTTTGATTTGAAACTGCAACTTTTTTAGAACTTCAAATTTTTATTTGGAGAGATTAGCCTCATGTTTCTCTGGCCGCAAACTGTGCTAATGCATTTGCAGTTGGTACATGTGTGCGTTTCAGTGAGTGTGAAGACGAATGCACTCCCACAGAGAGCTCTCCAAGCCAGCCTGGCCTGCTGAGTGAAACCCTGTGGTAATGTTTAGCTTATGGGGTGAAAAAGAGGGTGAGTGGAGAAAGGATGGGGGAAGGATGAGGGGATGACAGGACTGGAGAGGAGAGTTAGGGAAGGAGAGTGAAGAGGACTGCAGCTGAAGCAAGGGAAGAATGGGTCACAGAGTGACAGGGGAGACTGAGGGAAGGAAGGATGAAAGGTCCAATCGGGATGGAACACAGGAGGCTTCCCGCTTCGGCTTGTCAGTCAGTCGTCTCTCACTGACACCTGAACCTCCGTTGACCGGGTCGTGACTGCCTCTTTGGAACAGGAGATATCATTGGGGTGGATGACCCTTAACCTCCTCAAGCCCTCACTTTGCCGTCTGAAGCATCTCTTTACCCCCTTCCTCGCTTTCATTTGTTTTCAGATTTTTCACCTCCAACCCACCTGCAGTTTGGCTTAGCAGCCACTGAAGCAATGCAGGTTAATTAACATTTCCTAAAGTAAAGAATTTACACCTACACTGCCTTGTTACAGTACTCATACCCATTTAGTCATCCTAAAGGGCAAAAGCTAATGTATTCTTTTGAGATTCTTTGTGATTGAGAGACACAAAGTATGTCTTACTTATGAAATAAAACACATGAAATATGCTTTTAATTTCCTGACAAATAAAATGCTGAAAGTGTGACTTGCATATATTTAATTCCCTTTCATATGTAACCATTTGATAAAAGCCAACACTCCTATGGACAATCAGAAGTTACCTAATAAGTAAAGAAAGTCATCCTGTATGTATATATATGTTTCTTTAAGACCTTAGACGATTTTTAGAGAAAATGAGTGAACAAACAGAACAATAAATACCAAAGAACCAAGTAAACAGATCGGGAATATTGTCATAAAAAAGTTTGATGCAGGGCAAAATTGTTTATTCCCAGGCTTGAGACATCTCTAAGGAAACTGTTGAGGAGCATGATAAAAAGCATTGATCGAAGAAGCAGCCAAAGGACACTGCTGCAGAGAGCTACAGCTTTAGAATAGGGGTCTTTCAGCAGGACAGCCTTTGAATACAAGTCTAAGAAATGTTAAAAGTTTTTTTGGTTTAGGAAACTTGCCAGCTGATGAGGAGACAAACACAGAGGGACTAAAATCAGCGCAGTCTTGGGAGAAAATCTTGTTAAGGCTGCTAAAGGGACTGAGGCAGTGGTTGCATCCTAGCAGTAAGTATCTCCCTAAAAACACAACTAGTGGTGCAATAGAAGAGTTTATATTAAAATGTACTATGTAGTCAAAGTACAGACCTAAAAACAATGAAAGGTGATGTTTAAATGTAATATTAGTGACTGTTAGCTGTTTTAAAAGAAAGAGTTGGTAAAATGTTCTATGCCTAGAACTAAAAAGTTGGTAGAAACATTCTTTGTACGATATATATAATTTTTGGACCTGTTTATATCAGAAGAACTCTGACAAATATATCAGCATCTAGGAAAAAGGTCTCCCACCCCATTCGTGTATAACAGTGTAATCAGATAACATCTGTATAACAACATATTCGCTAAAACAGAGGAGTAGCTTACTGTACATCATTTTTTCTGGGCTGTGGT